ATTGCTGTTGCTACTGTTGCTAAGTAAACTATTTGTTTATTTTAGTACATGGTAGAAGTTGGTTATACAACTCTGTGTCGGTATCTATGGCCTTATCATACCTCGGGCCTACGGCCCTCGGTATGATAAATGTCATAGATACCTCCACCTCGTTGTATAACCTTTACTTATTATTATTAAGAATTTTCTCATTTTTCTCATAGGCCATCATAAAGATGGTTGCTAATATTCATTTGAGAAATTCTATTAATTTTGATGTTGGCAGACAATGGAACGATGAAAAGAACCAGTGGTAAGATAAGCATGTACATGTACTTATGTTGTGTAGAAAGTTTGAGCTGATTCTGATTAAAAATTGGATTTTTTATAAATAAGTTGCTCAAAAATCAGGTCAAAGTCCCTATACTCTTGTACAGGGTCATTGACCAAATTTTGCCAAAAATGAAAAGGAGAGAATTCTTTATTTTTATTACATTTTCTATACATATTATAGTTTACTAATTATTCCTCTTAATTACAGGATCCTCTTGTCCTCCTCTTCTCTCTCTCTCTCCTTATGTTGGTGCCTCCAGTGAGTCCCTTAACTTGTCAAGTCTCATCAGTTCAGCTAACATTGGACCCACCTGAGGCTTAAACTCTAACAAGTACCGGTATGTCTACTAGTATATACATGTATAAACATGACTTTAATGTCTAAATGATACACATGCACATGTACATTTAGATGTAAATATACATGTAATACTCTATGTTGGCCAAAGGTAATTGAACTATTATTATTTTAAAGGAATGCTTAATTGTACTGAAAAAACAATCCATTTTTAAAAGCTAATGTACAAGTTATGGTAATTTAGCTAGTAAGCATTAGGTGATAGGAGTACTTGTAATGCAACATGTATGGTACATGTACATGTACATAATAACATGTCATTTGTTGTTGTTTATTGTTGTTGATAGGTTATTTGGGTGTTATCAGATATGGTCCTTGAGTGTAGCATGGCCCACGTGTTAACTAAACTACAAAGAGGGCATTATCTGCTAGACAGGAAGAGGAAGCACTTCAAGAATCAACCAGGGTGAGAGGGGCTGGGTTAGGGGGAAGTGGTGTATATTAAAGTACATGTTGTAGAAGTTAACTAATTCTACCAACAATTTATTATCATCAATTATCAAGATCGCCAAAGATAACAAAAGAGAGTGACAAATGGAGAAGAACAACAAAGACAAAAAACACGAGAGAGAGAGAAATATTAATTTATTTTATAGTTCTACTGCACATGTGTGCATCAGTTATAATGTAATGACTATTATGTTTATACTTTATTAACAACATTAACCATGAGCCAATATTCTTCACTACAATGTACATGTACAAATATTTATGAAAATTATTACATGTACATGTACATTACCAAATTATTATAGCTCATGGTTTTTTTCAAAAAATAGCTCTAAATCACCCAAAATTTTATTACATTTTCTGAAACATATTAATGTCCTTATGCTGTGTAGAAAGTTTGAGCTGATTCTGATAAATAACACGTACTTTTTATGTTATGAACATTGTCCTGTGTGTGTGAGTAAGTGTGTGTCAGAATACCATATAGCGAGTAATTTTGGAGGGGATTAAATTTGGCGAATTTTGCGTTTTGATAGCCATTTGCCAGAATAAAAATCTGCCATTTTGAGCCATTATATGCATGCTCAATGGCACGTGGCCACAAATTTGCCAAATTAAAAATCTGCCAATCACCAAAATTTAGCAATTCGCCAAATTTTAGCCCCCTCCAAAATTACCCACTATACGGTAATAGTGATAG